AGCCAAGATTCTAATACTCGTAACAATTTAAGAATTTCCTCAACCTCGTTCAGACAAAGCCAGTTATGCATCGCTATTTTAATCAGGCATCTCCAAAAATCGATATTACAGTCTGTATAGAGTTTATATTAAGTGTTTTGCTTAAAAGGAAACGATAAATTCTTGATCAGGTGGAGAAGGTACTCTTTTTGTTCACCACCAAAGTCAATTTTTAGCAAGTGAATTAAGTTGAATTTGAGAATTGTGGATTGTAGAGAGTATGGGGCGCTATTGTGAAAATTCTGAATTTCAGTATTTTTCCTCGACAGGTTGCTATAAAACAAGATGTCTGTCTCAGTGTTGGGACATCCTGATTAACAGTAGTTTTACAGTAGTCATGATTCAGGGACCACTCAAGGTCCTGGAATGCCAGGGCGGCAACAAAATAGCTGTGTCCATCAAAACACTCTGAGAACGTGTTTATATATGTGGTGACTCACTAAAACCAAGGCCAGTGTCTGAGGAAGGAAGAAACTTAGCTTGATGATATTTTTTGTAAGCAAAGGAGTTGTACAATATCCAGTGAATTTACAGTCACCAAAGACTGGGGGAAGTGGTTTACAAATAGACAGGGGTAGGGTTAGAAACTCACTCCGCTGTACTTTCCTGTATAACACAGAAGCCATGCTCTTCCCAGTTTGCAAAGCCACACACTAATACATTTCACGAATGTCTCAATTTAATGTAAAGGAGACACTGAGAATCAAAGCTTATAACTGCCTTTGGTAAAACATTAATATCAGCATTTCTGAGCACATTGAAAAATAATTAACTGGATAAAAACAACCTATTTGTTAATTTCTCCAACAGTCAGATCAACAATAGATAAAAGAAACTATGTGCTCTTTAAACTGTACTGACAGTTTAACAGAATCCTGAGTTTGCTCCAACATCAGTTCAATAGAAAGGACAGTTACTGTTTATACCATATACACAACTGTTCACAGAGCACCATATTTTTATTTGAGCAAGTCATAGAAATATAGAATATTTCAGCATTTTATCATCCAAATTCTGTAACAAATGTCTTAAGTCAGTTCTGACTTGACAAATAAAATTGTTACATTACACAGCAATGATGTTTGCAAATATAAAAAAACTTTTTTTTTCTTGTTACAGCTGTTATTATTATGTTTATCAGTTAACAAATAGTTTATCTGGGGCAAACTGTGATGCACATATAGATCTGCTTGCCAAACTGTCTGTGGTAATGGTATTCTTTCTGAAGTCACCACTGCCTTAAGGGAATGACAGAACATCCCATTTTATAGAAGGTGACTTGCGACTGGATAATTTGACCTTCTTTTTGTTTGTGTCATTCCTACACAAAATGGACTCAAAATGAATACAAAAGCTTCTATCCACAACTTAGCTAATGCAATTTAAATGACAAAAATGTGCCCCAACCTTGTCTGAGCTTTTAAAGAGCACCAGACATCTGAGGTTTCAGTAACAATAATACTTTACACTGTAGGACTACCACATGTCTGCTTCACTGGCAAGCAGCATGGAATAGTCTAAAAAAAAGTCTAGGTTCAGGGCTTCCATTTCTTGTCCTCATAATTCAGCAGTTTTTCTGGGTTTCCTTAATTTATTATTACCGTAAAACCCAAGGAATAAGGTTAAATTTGTCCAATTATTGCCAATATTGTTATACTGGACCAATGACCTGATTAAACAGGATAGGCTACTGGTCTTGACGTTTTGGCCAGCACTGTCTGTTTGCATTCTCTTCTTTGACTAGATCACAAAAGTACATCCAGAAGAAGATATGAGCAGCAATCTAAGCACCACATTTAATGACTGTCTGTCGTTTTTCACAGCAGTGTTGTCAGTGGTTTTACAGTATGTGCTACATCCATACCAATGATTTGGGACAATGTAGTAGTGGGTATGGTCATTGCTTTAGTTGTGCAACAAAGATCGCTTAAAAAAAGTTCACCTCTTAATGAATATCACTTCTTTTTTCTAGCATTCCTTAAACTTGGCAGATTAGACGAGAGACCAGAATCTTTCATTAGGCCAGAGTTTCTCTCAAACCATGTTGAAGCACAGCTGCCACTTCAAAGGTGTTTCTGCAAAAATTCCTGGGTGCATAAGAACTGTCAGTTTCCTTGATTCAGCACTGAAATAATGATAAATAAGAGAACGATGAACCGATTCAGTATCCAACAATGATACCGGGGTTAAATCAAGCTATAGTCTTCTGCTTGTTTCTTGAGCAGTATTAATCAACTGCAGTAAGAGAGGTGAAATGTCTCGTTGTTATTATAATATGAAACTTCTATTCATTTGCTTTCCTCCCTATGATTCCTTATTTATCCAGACAGATGAAACAAAACATACTCCCAAAGAGTTCCCGTAGCAATTCCAATCAAACAGAATCTGAAAAACATTACACCAGACCACATTTCATTTGATGAGATACGTCTACAATTAAGATGCCAGCCAGATACTTCAGATCAAAAATGTTTACAGGACAACCATCTTCCTCTTTTCTTAGTGACAAATGGTTGGGGGACTTGGGCTATGACCTCTGGACAAATGGGTAAATAGTGCCTCTCTCTCATGTATGCAGTAGAGATGGTTGGCATCCAACAGACAAGCTGGGGAAGCAGTGCTTCTGGCAAACATAACGCTCTGTGCGTGCAGGGAACACATAAGCCCTAGTGTTTCATCTCTGGAGAAGGAAGACTGAAATAGAGCATGGGAACTCAGATGTATGGAATAGTGAAGAGGACTGGAATTTCACATCAAATACATAGGGAATTACAAGTTCCCTTTTTTGTTGTGACCCTCACAAAGCATGTGTACATACAGAGTTGACGTCAAAGTCATATACTAAAAGGCTTTAGAAATCTTAATTGCACCTTGTGTAATGTAACGCTAGATCTAACCCTGCAGGGAAGAGGTTTAACTTTTATTGATTAGGGCTGACACATTCCTATGCACAGTCAGGGGTGGAATGAAATCAGTCAGTGGTTTTAGGCACCCTTGTGTATGACAGATGAAAAAGAGTACACAGGTGTTTTGAAAATGGCCCTGAATTTGAAGAAAAAGATGAAAGGCAAAGTGTTGTATAAGTACAATCATTGGCTTGAAATTAACACCAAAAGAAAGCTGCTTAAAACTTAATGTGTTTTGGTAGAAAGGCTTGTCATCTTAAAAAGCTTATTGCAGATTTTGCAATATGTCAAAGGATTTGTATATAACAACTATATACCCATTCTATACATACTGAGCTTTACATTATGGATAATCTGACATGGATCATTTTTATGATAAAGCCACTGAAATGAAATCATGAATTTAAAATTTTACAGTCATATTGTGAAGGATCCTTATGTAATGATTGCAAAAATAACGTATGCACTCAAGCTCCGACAAAACAAAGCAGTGAAAGACAAGTGCCGATAGATTTAATTGATAATCACAATCGCATGGTACAGTGTACACAAAATAACGGTTTTAAAAATATTTACACTACACATTTCTCTTACCGACTACACTTAAGCAAGATTAGAAAAGCTCTGCTTTCAATGATGCTCAAATATATTTTGGGTAAAAGAACAAATATGATAACATTCATGTCTTTAACACCTCACCAACCTTAACTGAAAAACTCAACACATTTGCCTAAATTGCTAAGAACCATTAGTTTAAAAACGTTGCAGTGTGGAATAAAGGAACACCTAAGCCGCAAAAATGCAGCAGATGCACTAATAATACATCCATCCAAAGTGCCATCGTCTACACTAGACGCAATGAAAATCTCTACCTTGGATGACGGCAGAATTTGTCCTTGCCATCACCGCCAAAATACACGAGTTAATAACGGGTACGATAGACGGATATGTACCGTAGTTTCTTCGAGACTGCAGGCGCTTATTGCTTAAGCATAGATCTGGAAAAGCAATGAGCGGAGCACCAGTTTCACCTTGGCCATAGACAAGGTGTTGTGTGGAATGTATAATGCTACCTTTTTAATGTTAGAATCTACTATCTCGACTTTGAATGCATTTTCGATGACATTGTTTTAAGTCTAATAACGCTTGTTACTCGAGTCACTAATAAAAGCCTCTGAAAATCCATACAATACGTTGTGACCTGGATGGAAAGACGGTTTTCTCTAGTAGCTCAATAAATTAAAACCTAACATTGTTTTTATAACTACGTTTTCTTGACAGGAATATTGCTTAGTACAAAATGATTTGAGTATCTTATCTTTGTGTAGCCCCCCGCCCCCTCATATCTCACCCAGACTCTGACGATAACTTGGTATCACAATTTGCATCTGACTGCCCCCCTACTATCACAGCTGTATCATGCAATAGCTTTAAATGCAACGGCTCCGTAATGTCTGTTACTGAGAAAAGCACATCACTGTTAAGAGCATTTGCTGAGCAGGGAAGTAAAAGCTTCATTCCTGGGTCAGACGCACTGCATCACAGTTGATAACTAAAAAGTCGAACAGTTATTCCAATTCAAAGGAAAATTACTCTGCATCTAAAATGTAATATAAACGGCATCGATTACTTAATTATATCTGAATTGTATCCTTTACAAAAACGTTTTAATTTTTACATGCGTAATCAAGACATGTTGCCACATGAATCGTGTTCTCAGAACAACCATTGAATGCTCGTCCAACAGTAATCGTAAAGAAAACGAGAAACAATGGACTGTAGTTTAGAAACTCATAGCGTGTAACACAAAAATCCACTGGAAACTGATCAACCAAAAATTCTTCAAAGAGACGCTATCAGCCCCTCAGGCTTAATGACATCATCCACGAAGACTTACATTTAAAGCAGCATTTCGCTAGTCTTTGCGCATAATCTAAAACCACAGACCTGTAAAGCAGCGATTGTATTCAACTTTCGTCTCCCTGTCAGTAAAAGACTGCCTAACCACACACACAAAATACATAAAAGGTTTTATGAATACAATATAACACATACCTCAACGAAGAAGTTATCCATTTCCAAAAGTGCAAGTCAAAATGACCCCCGTTGCAGTTATCAGTGAATTACACTACAACAGCTTGCGTACTGGAAGAAGGAGCTGTGGTCCAGTTTGCGGGAGCTTTCCATTCACAAGCTCAAGTAAAGCTGAGGAGGTCCCATCCGCATTCCCTCTCCCAGACTAAGAAACACGAGAAACAAAGCCGGTACCCTGCGCTTTCACTGCATCAGCAGTAACACGGACGTCGCTTCCCCTCAAGCAAACGTGATCCTACTTAGACCTTTCTTGCCCTCCTGGGACAGTGACCACTCGGTGAAATCTACTACAGGACAACGTTCTAACCTCCCGGGTCTCCTGTCTTTCCTAACCAATCTAGTGTGAAATTGTGTACACCGGCAGTAATGAATGGACCCGGCAGACAGGGATTTAATTCAGGGTAGGCGGTGCATAACGCCAAAAACCCTGCCTCCAAGCTATATATGGAAAAAGGTACAACCCATTCCATGACTTCACAGAATAATAACAAAATATTGAAAACGTAGTTTTATTTAACATTTGTTAACAATACTTATTAGTAACAGTAAAACTGAACAATATTTTATACAATTGCCATTTTTCTCGTTAACATGATATTTCCTGTATAAAATGGAAGAAAGGTCTTTCCTCCACCTTTTCACTTTTCCATCATTAAATGCCACTTTAGTATTGACAAAGTTAAACCAGTGGACTTCCTTAGTATCAGCACTGAAACCTGAACCACAGATCATAATTACAAACTATGTGGAAGTGTTAGGAAGGGAAGGAAAGAATAGAAGGCACTTCTTTACACAAGTAGTGGGCATTTGGAACAAGTTACTCAGCCATGCCATTGAAGCTGAAACCCTAACTTCTATCAAGAAAGGACTGGATGAGATCCCTGCATCAATTACCTACAGTGCTACTAATTACTTTCAGAAATATTTAAGGGCTTCTTCTCATTTCTAACTGTTCTTATAGTCTTTGGTTCTTAGAAGGAGCAATTTTCATAAACGTAAGGTAAGAAGAAACTTCACTTATAATTATATATTACTATTAAAACTACAATTACTGATTATGACTGCTATGACATAGTTAGTAATAACAACAATGCTACTACTGCTGATATGACTAATATTGGTTCTAATACTTCTAGACCTACTATGGAAGACTGTAAAAAAAGGTACAAGTGAGAGGAGGTCATTCAGCCTATGTACTGCTTGGTAGCTAATTGATCTGAAATATATTCAGCCATTTCTTGAAAGAAGCTTCAACCGCATGACTGAGTGTCTGGTTCTAGACTACCACAACTCTTTGTGGAGAAAAAAAATATTTTCAATTTTAAATGTATTTCCTCGTATTTTCTAGTTGTGCACGCTCGTTCGGATTTCACTGTTGATTAAAATAACTTCTTGGGGTTAACTGTAACAATTCCTTTAAGCACTTCCTTAATTGTGGAGTACCCCCGTACACTTTCAGAATATGATCCAAAGCATATAATATTATGATCACAGGTCCATATTCTCTCACCTATTTTCTTACTCTATCTTGATTGTATGAAAAGAAAAGAGTAGTAGCTCAATACAGACATTGCCTCTTGAAGGTGTTCTGACAAACCAAGTGAGAAAGTAGTAGCTTGTGTACCACTTTGGTTTATGGTGCTTAGCCTTTTGCTACCAATAAAAGTATTTTAAAAGTATTTAAGTAATTTTCTGTTGTGGGAATAATTCTGTGACATTATTCATAGATGTCCTGAAACACAGAAGAAACACAGAAGAAACTATCTTCCAATATGACAATGCAATACAGTACCGTAATACGGTTATATAATAATATAATGTTGTATTATCCTCCTGAGTTCATATTTTAATTAAGTATTTTATGCTTTGACACAATTATTTTTTTCTAAGTTGTATAGGTGATACACTTCTGACTGCAAAACACAGGTGAGTAATCAATATTCATGGATGAGTTGATAAATATAACTAAATATTTTAGTTTTATGTAGTTAGCCTAACACAGTCATTAAATGCAGCAAAAACATTTATGTGGTGGATGTGGCTTCTGCCTTTCCTTGCACTCAGATAGGGTGAAAGAATAGGACTCAAGCAGTTGATATGATAGATAAATAGATATTTTATTAATCCTGTGAGGGAAATTGCAGGCAGTAAAGCTCCATCTCTCAGATCCACAGCTTGAGGGAACCTTGTTTCACACACAAGATAAACTTCATAAGAAAAGCACTGTAGGTTTCCGCCTTAGTCCTCTGTAATGTAATGTTTTATTTTATTTTTCCAGCAGGCCACTTTTATGCTATTTCTCTCCTTCACTGGAGAAAGAAAGGACTGGCTTTAAATGTGTATTATGGGATACAATCCTCACTGTGATACTATCATTCACATCATCAAAGCCAGGTCTGCTGTTGTACAGCATAATAACCAACATATGTGTGAGTTTAAAGCAAAAGCTGGTCATAGGAGTTCCTTGTAGTGAACTGTGTTTTCACACAAGAAGATAATGCATATTTTGTGCATTCCTGATTGTTCATTTGGTGTATTACAAACTAAGACATACGAAAATGTATCTCTTTAAATTCTGCTACATGTATCAACATTTTTTTTAAAAGAATGTATTTCTAAGATTTAAGCGATCGACATAATGTTGAGGCCAGAGCTTATCTTAATTGAGCTCACGCATACTTTGAGAAGTCTTGCAATTCTTTCATAATCATTTCATAAGAAGATAGAAGGACAGAAATTACACAGCCAGAAGGTAAAGGCAAAAGAGAAAAACAAACAGGTGAGTTTACCTTTAAGAACATTAAATTTCTCTTATAGGAATCTTTCCACAGCCATGTTTATGCAACTCCTGGTGCTAAACTAACCAATGAGGTGTCAGCCTAAAGGTGTGACCTGAGGAGTGCTGTAGGTAGCTTGGGATATGTAACACTTGGACGAGTCACAGAAAAGCCCAGGGAGAGCAGGCCAAGGGAAGGGAGTGAGTGTGAGTCAGAGCGGCTTATTCACCCATTTGTTAATGAAATTGATTGAAAGGTAGACTTGCAAAACATCCTGATTGTTAATAGATCCATGCAACATGATGAGACAACCAAATTACTCTATATCCATACAAAGCACACAAAGAATACAAGGAAGACAAGAAATGCTGAAGTGATAATAATAATAATTGCTTACACTTATATAGCGCTTTTCTGGACACTCCACTCAAAGCGCTTTACTGGTAATGGGGACTCCCCTCCACCACCACCAATGTGAAGCATCCACCTGGATGATGGATGGTAGTGATGGTCAAACCTTATCCAGAGCATAACTAAAACGGCCATAAAGAAGTATAAAACCTAATTCTGTTTTCATTTTTATGTCATTCTTCATTGTAGTTACAAATTCTGAAACGGAAAATGTACAGAGGTTGTAAACACCATGAAATTGGGAGCTTCATTCACCAGGGGCTTTTCAGGTACGGAGCTGGAGTATTCACAGCTGACTTCAAGATGACAAAACTGAAAATGACAATGAAATATATGACACTGGTCGTCTCAGATGATAAGAGTTTAATGACCAAAAATGAAGCTTTGTGCCTTGGGCTGTGGACCATGTGGACTATGGTTTATCCTGATGTAGCATTGACTCAATTTTTGAATACAGAGCCAGAACACTACCATAACACTTCAATGTGAGCTAGAAAACTCGTGCAGAGCTCAAAAAACTTCAACCTGTTGTTCAATTGTATAAAGTTTTAATCCTACAGTTAAGCGTGTGGTCCCTGTTTCCTTTACACAGAAATATGTTTAATGTAAGGATCTATATATAAAGGATGTGGAATAATGGGAACAGCTCTTTCATTTTAGGTTTTTGCAGGCAACTGTTTACAGTGTACGCAAGTGAATACTCAACAAAGTACTGTATGTCTTCAGAAGTATTTAGAGCACTGTGGGCTATTTTAAACAACCATTTAACTTTTTCTGATATTCACTATACTTAATATTTCAAATATTAAGTATACCTGCATTTCCCCCATTTGCTTTGAACAGCAGAATTGTTTCAAAAGCTCAATACTATCCAAAGAGAGAGATTCTGTTAGGAGTGAATTTACAATCCAGTAGGTTACCCCCAAAAAACTTTGACCCATGTAAAAGGAAGCCATATGAATAAGTTATATATCTGTCGATACAATGATGCTTGCCTTTACTGTCTTCAACAAAAAGACTAAGAAGAGCATGCTCATCTACACATCTTTGCCTTTAACGTTTGAAATGCCACGTAGATCAATTGAAGTCATTGTGTTCTCCCCAGCTGGGACATAATTTAAAAACACCTTGATTGCATTACAGAGTTGTGAGGCATCCCAAAATTCCGATGATCTTGGTGTCTGCATCTCTTCTAGTTTGTCTGTTTTGTCACTCATCTGATAAAGGTAGATGACAAAAGAGGAATGAACAGTTCCCCCAGCTTTTTCTGAAACTGTGAGCTATGAGGCATAATTTTGTCATTAGCAATTTTCAGCACTTCAACTACAAAACAATCTTTCCTTTTTGTTTTGTGAGAGAGTAATTCACAGCAAGGGCTATAAATATCACAGCGGCTCTGGGGATCAAAATAAAACACTTTCTGACACATTTCTGAGTTTTCAGAACAGAACATGTTTCACATCACACCAAGAAGAACCAAGACAGATAACCTAGTCTCTGAATGAAGCATCATTAAACACTTTAAAAACCATTAGCATTTTGAACCTTTTATAATTTTTCAGCGTGATTAGGTAGCAGTTGTTTTTTTTAACTTCCCCAGATATATTGTTGAAACAATGAACAGGGAAAATAAGTTATTCAATGTTTTATATGTTAATAATCACAAGCCCATCAGTGAATCACATTTCCTATACTCGAGCTGCTTTTTTCATCCAAAGTGTAAACAGAACCACTACAGAAAACCTTATTTGTCTATTATATTTGTAGATTTAAATGTCATAATAGAACTGCATATTCTGTTCATCTCCTGATGCTACCAGTTCCTATTAAAATACTTAAGAAGCTTTAGACTCCACTCCTGTGCAGCAAGGTTATATCCAGCAGACATACCCCATAAAGAGTTGATTTAACTGAAGCTAAGAAGTTCCTCCATTATGAGAATCTTGCTCTTTCTCCTAAACAGTTGCTCTTTTTTGGTTCTGAAGTCACATGGCCATAATTGTCATAAAGCAAAGCCTATACAAAAGAGAATCTGGATCATCTTGTCAAAATACCATTTTGGAAAAAAGTAAGTTAAGAAAAAATGATATTTAAAGTCCATCATACAGACAAGTGTCTATAAATTTCAACTTAGCTTGTTAAATTACAGTACATATTGCATTTGTCATATTACACTGTGATCA